ATATATATAAGAATTTCCTCTCAGAAATGGCTTGTTCATAACCTTTAAATCTTAACTATGCTGCCACTAGGCAGCATATGGTTAAATACATTCTTTAATCAAGTCTGATAGTCTCTGCCTTTTGACTGGATATTTTAATTCATTTATATCTAATAGTATTTATATAGTTGGATTTGCCCATTTATTTTCTGTTTTCTGAGTCTCTTGTTTTTTCCCTTTTTATTTCTCCTTTACTGCTTCATTTGGCATTAGCTTGATATTTTCTAGGTTAACATTTTAATTTTTAACAATATTTTTCATTCATTTTTAGTTACTTTCTTAGTGGTTGTTCTAGGATTTACCATCTACCATTCAACTTATCAAAATCTATTTCAGATTTATACTAACTTAATTCCAAGAAAATGTGGAAATGTTAACCTCCACCACAAAGCTCTGTTATCTCTCCTTCTTTTGGAGCTATTATCACATTCTATGTTTATACAATACCTATGTATGTTACAAACCAAGCAATACATAGCTACAAATATTATTTTATATAATTTTATATCTACTAAAAAAGATAAAAAAGAAAAGAAAGCAAATATATATTATATAAGTATATATATTATATAAGTGTATATATACTTACAGAGTTTGTTATATCAATGTTATTTATCATTTCTGGCTCTTGTGATTTGGTCCTACGGATTTGACTTTATCTGTTGTCATTTCCTTACCCCTCTTCACTTTGCTCTCACCTACCTTCTTTCTGCCGCTGCCTAACATGTTACATTGCTGTCTGTCATAGGTGCAGCAATGTAATTACATGCATATTGTTTTACACAATTGTATTTTATCAGTTAAGAAAAGTGAAGTGTGCTATTTTATTATTTTTGTAATTACATGATTACCTTTACTGTGCTTTTTATTTGAATTCTCATTAGTCTATGATTATTTGCTTTCAGTTTAAAGAGCTTTCTTTAATAGTTCTTGTGAGGTGAGACTGCTTCCACTAATTCTCTCAATTTTTATTTGTGTGGCAATGTCTTTCTTTGCATCTATTTTTTTAAAACCTAAAGAGTTTTACTAGAGATGAGTTTCACAGTTGACTGTTGTGTTCTTTCAGCATTTTGAGCATAGCAGCATACTGCCTCTGGCCTCTGATTTCTAGTGAGAACTCCTGCTGTTCATTTGATTGGAATTTCTGTATCTGTGGCAAGTCATTTTTCTTTTGCTGCTCTCAAGCTTTGTCTTTCAGTATTTTTACTACCCTATGTCTGATTGTGGATCTTTTTGTGTTATCTTTTTTTGCTATTTTCTTGTTTGGTACCGGAAATTGAACTCAGGGCCTCCTGCTTGCCAGGCAGGTGCTCTGCCGCAGAGCTACATCCCCAGCCCATTTTTGTGTTATCTTACTTGGAGTTTATTGAGTTTCTTGGATGTACAGATTGATATTTATTATCAAATTTGGAATGTTTTCAGGCAGATTTATTCTAACTTTTTTTCTGCTTTATTGTCCTACTTTTCTCAGAGGCTGTATTCAATTTTTTGCTATTTATTTTTTCTTTGTCTTTCAGTTTATCTTCAAGTTCACTAATTGTTTGTCCTGTCAGTTTGTATCGTTTGCTAAACCCTTTATTTTTCACATCAGTTATTACACTTTTTAATTCCAAAATTTCTATCTGGCTGTTTTAAAAATCCATCTCTTTATTGATGCTATCTACTTGATGATGTTGTCATAACAACTCCCTTTAAATAGGGTTTCCTTTAATTCTTTGAACATTTTTGTAATGGTTGCTTTAAAGTCTTTATCTGTTAAATAAAACATCTGGGTCCACTATCAGGTTATATTACGTTGCCTGCTTTTTTTTTTTTTTTTTTTCATTTTGTAATTTCCTTTTTTCCTTTTTCCTTTCTTGTTTATTTGCATGTCTCGTACTTCTTTTTTTAAAGCTGGGTAACTTACACTGTAGTAATCTGAGTGCTGGTTTCCTTTCTCCTTTTCCAGCCTTATTTTTGTTACTGCATTTGCTTTTTATTTCTTTAACGACTTGGTTAGACATTTTAGTGAAATTTATTCCCTCTGCTTTGTGCAGCTTCTTATTCCGCTCTTCAGAGGGTAAAGCCTTAGGCATGCACATGGTCACCCTAGGATGGCAGCAGTGTTAGCAGGACTCTCTGACTGCTTTCCCTGGTTTCTGTTCCGCTCTCTGCCAACTTCAGTTATCACATCCTGCTATTTACTTGCAGTAATTGCAAGCTGGCTGCTCTGTTATTTTCAACAATACACTGGACCATAAGTTATTGTAAAATTTGGGCCTCATTGCAAGAGGTAGGTTTGATGTCAGCCTTTGAGGGTTGGTTCTTACCCCAAAAGGCGTCCTCCCTCACTCTCTCTAGCAAACTGTCCGACCTACAGTTTATCTTACCTATTCTCATAGAACTACCAGCTTCTTCTTAATTGCTTACTCCAAATCTCCATTGTTTTGGAGAGTGCCTTTAAGGTTAAACTACCCAACTGTTTAAAATAAAGTCAGTTCCTTTGGATGTTTGGGTGCTCTGTATTCTTGTTTTTTTCTGTTGTTTTGTTTGTTTGTTTGAGACAGGGTCTCAGTGTGCAGTTCAGGCTGGCCTTGAGCTCACTTTGTAGCCCAGGCTGGTATGGAACTCTCAATGATCCTCCTGCCTCAGCCTCCCAAGTGCTGAGAATACAGGTGTGCGCCACGACACCTAGCTCAGGCTCTGTATTCTGCAGAACAGCCTTTCTTCCCCTCTGAGAGGGAGTTCTGGCTCAGTAGATGAGGTCTTCATTTTCTCAGCCTGCCATATGTGGTGCAGAGCCTTACTAATGGGACCTTGGAGGAAAAAAGGAGCTCCCAACACCTCAACCATATTCACCAAGAATTTGATTTTTGCAACTCAGATTTGAAGGAGATAAGAATTGCTAGTGACCTGCCCCTCCTGGTGAGATACCATAGCCTCTACTGGCAGCTGAGAGGTGTGGGTGCTGTGCTTCCTGGCCATGCCTGGCTGGAGTGGAGTATCCATCGGGTGGCAGGAGCAGAGGAAAAGTAGAGGGAAGGAGTGGATAGCGGGTCCAGGGCCACAGACTCTCACTGTTTTTACTGAGGGGTAGTAGATTGCCTTGAATAAATGTTTTCATTGCTGTGTGCTTTTAGGGAAACTTTGGAGAACTTAGCAGTTGTCTTTAAATAATTTTCAGCAGTATTGTTATTTCCCTAGGGAATTCTCAGGGCTTCTCAAAGTAGCTTCACAGAAGTGTACTCCCACATTCACACCTTTGGAACATACTGGGTTTTGGGGGGGGGATTTTTGGTACCAGGAATTGAACTCAGGATCTCGTGCTTGCCAGGCAGGCACTTATGCCACTGAGCTATATACCCAGCCCAAACATACTATTTTTTATTCTTAACTAATATATGATTATAGTTTTGATTTGTTCATTGACCCCATAAGTAAAAATAAATTTTTAGAAAATTTCCCAAATTATTTTCCTAAAATGTTGTTGTGAAACATCTAAGCTTATTATGCTGTCATGGAGTACAGCCTGTATACAGGTTTGCTAGGGCTGCAGTAACACAGTATGACAAATTGACATAAACAACAGCAATTTATTGTTTCACGGGTCTGGAGATGAAAGTCAGAAATTAAGCTGTTGCCAGAACCATGTTCTAAGCTGTGTTCCTTCAGCGGTTCTAGGAAAAAGCTCTTCCGAGCACGTAGAAACATCGCCTTATCTGTGACTTCATCTATGCAGGCATTTTTTGGTGTTTCCAAATTCTCCTTTTTCATAGGATACTAGTCATATTGGATCAGGACCTACTCTAATGACTTCATCGTTTTAAGTATTTATTTGTTTGTTTGCCCTTCTGAGCATTGGACCCACTGAGCTACATGCCAAATCTTTTTTAAATTTTACTTTAAGGTAGGTTCTCGCTACATTTCTCAGGTTGGACTTGAACTTGCAATCCTCTTGCCTCAGCCTCCTGAGTAGCTGGGATTATAGGTGTATGCTGCTATACTCAATTTAAATGTTTCCAATTATTTTAGTACATATTTTCAGTATATAATGATCACATTCCTCATGGAGAATTGGTACATGTACATAACACATCTTAATTCTTTTTTCATCCTTTTTCCCTCCCATTCTACCTCTTCCTTCCATACCTTGCTCCTCTATATTAACAATTTATATCTAAGATGATTCTCTTCTCCAATAAGACCACATTCTGATACTTAGGGGTTAGGATATCAAGATACAAATTTTGGGAAGATACGATCCAATGCATAACAGCCTGTAAAAAAATCTGCTTTCTACCTGGGGGCAGTAGTACAGGCCTATAACCAACTACTCAGGAAGCTGAGGCAGCGGAACCACAAGCTCAGGGATAGCCTGAGGAATTTAGGAAGACCCTGTAACTTACTGATAGAGCACTCTTGGGTTTGACACCTAGTACCACACAAAAAAAATCTGCTTTCTAAGATGAAGAATTTGTCACCCAGTATAAATACATAGATGATAGATAGATAGATAGATAGATATATAGATAGACAATCTGCCCCAAAAATGTATACATCAGGAAAAGAAAAATGTAAATATTTTAATACTAAATTTATTGATACATCATGAGATTAATACAAGTTGCCTTTGGACTCTACAATTACAAGAGGTGCTCAAAGTGGTGGCCATTAGCTTCCAGGCATTTCTTAGTATGGGAACCACTGAAGTGTGTATACAAAAGTTTTGGTGGACTCTGTATATATACCGTTCATAAATATTTCTTGAGTAGCCTAAAATAATGCTATTATTATTGTTGTTGAGAAGAAACTTTTAAGTCCCAGATACTTCCTGTCTCCCAGACCCCCCAATACCAACATTCCACACTGGATTGGTACATTTACTACAATCCGTGCACCCACATTGACAGCCAAAGTCCATAATTTACACGAGAATTCACTCTTGTTCCTTTTTTTTTTTTTTTTTTTTGGTACCAGGAATCGAACTCAGGACCTTGTGCTTGCCAGGCAGGTGCTTATTCCACTGAGCTATATCCCTGGACCCTTGAGAATTCACTCTTGTTGCTATACATACTATGGATTTGGACAAATATATAATGACATTTCCACCATTAGAGTATCAGACAGTATTTTCACCACTGTAAATATGCTTTATTCCTTCTTCCTACTAACCCCTGGAAACCATTTACCCTTTTGCTGTCTCCATAGTTTTGCCCTTTTTAGAGAGTCAGAGAGTTGGAATTATACTGTGTATAGCCTTTTCACATTGGCTTCTTTCTCTTTGCAATATACATTTACATTTCCTCCATGTCTTTTCATAGCTTAGTGACTCATTTATTTTCAGTGCTGAAAAATAATCCACTGATTGGATAAGCCATAATTCATCCATTCACCTATTGGTGAACATCTTGGTTACTTACAGTTTTGGCAATTATGAATAAGCTGCCATAAGCAATATGCAGATTTTTGTATAAACAGAAGTTTTCCACTCACTGGAGTAAATCCAAGAAACACAGTTGCTGAAGCATATGGTGAAAGTATTAGTTTTATAAGAAATTGCCTAATTGTCTCCCAAATGGCTGCACCATTTTGCATTTCCACCAACAATAAGCATGAGTTTCTGTTTTTCTACATCGTTGCCAGTACTTGTTGTTATCTTATTTTTTTCGGTTTTTTTTTGTTGTTTGTTTTGTTTTGCCTGGTACTGGGAATCGAACTCACAACCTTGCACTTGCCAGGCAGGTGCTGTGCCGCTGAGCTAAATCCCCAGCCCCTGTACTTGTTGTTATCAATGTTCTGCATTTTGGCCGTTCTAGTAGGTATGAAGTGATATCTCATTGTTGTTTTAACTTGCATTTCCCTAATGACAAATGATACTGAGCATTTTTCATATGCTTACTTGCCATCTGCATGTCTTCTTTGGTAAGGTGTCTGTTCATATCTTTTGCCTCCTTTTTAATGGGTTGGTTTCTTATTGTTGAGTTTTAAGAGTTCTTTATATGTCTTGGACACCAGTCCTTTGAAAGATGTACCTTTACAAGTGTTTTCTCTCACAACAGTGGTTTAGTAAGAGTGGTAGATTGAAATTAGAAGAGAAATAATTTGTAGAACTTTAACTTGATACAAAGGGAGGATGCAAGGGTCTCACTCCGGACACACCAAACCAGAAAAAAAGCCTTATGGGTACACCTGAACGTATGAGTTTTACGAGTCTGAAGGCACAGGAGCAGTGGAAATGGGGGGTAGGGGAGGTGGGTGAGCCCCAGGCCTGGGGAAGGAAAGTACTGAGAATGAGTCCCAGGTTCTTGTCCTAAACAAACTGGCTACAGAGAGAGATTGTTTACTGGATCAGAGGGCCCTAGAGGAGGAACAGAGCTAAGAGAAGATTAAGGGTTCAGTTTCAAACATGTTGAATGTGAGATCCTATAAGCCATCCAAGTCCAGGTGCCGAGTAGACAGAGGATGGTAAAGAGGTCTGGATTCTAGAGGAGCTTGGTCAGAGATATAGAATTAGGAGATGACATACCTGAAGATGACATTTGAAGACCTGGCTGATGTCAGCTGAGGAAGCCCTCTAAACTGAGGAGAGGAGAGGGTGTTTTAAGGTTAAGTGAGCACAGGAGATGGAAAAAGAGCAGCTGGAGAAGAGGCAAAGTAAGAGAGCAAGAGTCAGAAGCCTACTCAGGAAGGAGCCTTAAGAGGGGAGAGTTTACGTTTAGAGGAGGGGATGTCAGGGAAGCCCACCCTGAAGTCTCACTGACCCAGAAACCTGAGAACTGCAGAGGAACTGGCCACCCTGAGGGTAGGGTGAAGGTCCTAGAATGGACTGAGGAGGCCCTGGGGTGTGGGACAGGAGTCAGAGTATTCCCCGCAGGAGGAGTGCCATGCACTAAGGCTCTCCATGGCCAGCTGCACGCTGAGCTTGGGCCTTTTGGAGTCTGTAATGGTCAGGACGCCACATCCCCCTTGAACTCAACCAGACATCCTGAACATCTGCTAAAGCCCCTGAAGCCCAGTGAGCTGAGCATTTTTCAGATACTTACTTGCCATCTGTATATCTTTTTTGGTGAGGTGTCCATTCAACCTGTAGAGTGTCCCTCACAGGTAGAAAGCCACACGGTAGGTGTATTGCTTTGTAAGGGCTGCCATGCACAGTACCACAGACTAGGGGCTTAAGAAAAAGTTTGGTTACAGTCCAGGAGGCTGGAAGTCCAAGTTCAAGGTGTGGCAGAGTTGCTTTTCTCTAAAGCTTCTTTCCTCTGCTTGTAGATACCTCACATGGTCATCCCTCTGTTTACATCAGCATTCTATCTGCTTTTCTTTTAAGCACGTCAGTTATACTAGGAAGGGTGACCATTATGAATTCGTTTTAACTTAATGATGCTTTTAAAGACTCTGCCTTCAAATACAGTCAGGGTGTGAAGTACTGGGGAGGTCCAGACTTCAAAATTTGAATTTGAGAGGATGCAGTTCAGCCCGTAACAGGGGCCAAGACCCAGTGAGGTCCAGGTACAGGGACACTAAACATGCAAGGAGCACAGTAGAGAGAGCTAGCCTTTGGCATGGACATATGAGGGGCTGGTGGCAGGGCTTGTGTGTTGTCCAAAAGCACTGGGGCCACCCTGAGCTCCCTACCCACTCCCACCTGCAGGCTCGCTGGTCGGCCAGAGACTCTCAGACCATCCTGATGTGAGGAAGATTGGGTTCACGGGCTCCACAGAGGTGGGAAAGCACATCATGAAGAGGTAGGTGGCTGGGGGTGGGAAGAAGGAGAGACTACAATGGCCACAGTGTCCAGACACAGACATGCTATCGTGTGAGATAGGTCCGGCTTCTCAAACGTCTGTGTGCACAGTGTGGCCACATTCAATTCAGATGCTGACTGGGTGTGTCTGATAATTCAGATGCTGACTCAGTACATCTGATCTCTACAAGCCTTTTGGGGGGCTGCGGGGCTGCCCTGCAGAGCCCACTCAGACCCAGAGGTCCCACGGAGCTCACAGTCCCCCACGGCCATTGTGTGCTTAAAGTGGGGCCCATCTGACCTGAGGTGTGCTATGGCTGTAAAATATATACTGATTTCAAAAACTCAACACACAGAAAAGTAAAACATGCATCATTTCTTGTACTGATCATCACTTGAAACTGCAGTATTTTTGATCAGCTATATTAAATAAAATCTATCACAAGTTGGCCACCTATGGCTGCAGGTTCCACAGCCACAGAGTCAAACCTCTGAAGACTGGTAAGATTGTTGGGAAAAATATATTAAACACATATAGCTTTCTTTCTTGTTATTATTCCCTCAACAATCCAGTATTACAGGTTTTACATGACATGTGCATTGTACAGTCATACGTGAGTACTTGACTGCTCTGAAACTCATTGAATTTGGTACTGGACACACAGGGAGAAGGACTGCTTGTGTGTTAAGACAAGACTTTCTCACAGTATCTCCCAAAGCAGAATGTTCTTTCTCTCTGGGACCCTTCGGCGGCCCTGTCCTGCTCCCCACAGGGTACTGTGGCCCGTCAGATGGGGTTGCAGGCCCTGACCCACCCACGCCCTCTGTGGCCTCCCCCGCCCAGCCTGGCACCCATTCTAGTGCAGAACACAGTGACCTCATTTGGCTCCCTTTTGCTTCAGAAGCCACCACCCATGTGAGCCTTCAGGGTCAGGAAAGGCTGATTTCACGGGCTGTGCAAGCTGCAGGTGGGGGCTGCGCAGTTCGTTTTGAGCATCCTACAGGAAAGGCCTGCTGCAGAGCAAGCCTCGGGGTGCTGTGGGAGAGAGGGCTGACAGACAGGTGAATGGGTGTGGAGAGGGGCCGTAAACCATGAGGGTGTATAGGAACCACGTGAGCACACACCTGCCGTGGTGAGGCTTGAGTTCTGGCAGGTGGGGCCAGGCATAAATACATAGTGAAGCAAAGAGCAGCTGGTAGGTGCGCAGGAAGGTCAGGTGTTTTTACACGGAGTGATCAGAGAGGTACACCTAGGAAGAGAACACCGCAGCAGGGGCCTGCAGGAAGTGAGCAATGCAAGGTGCAGGCATCTTTAGGAAGGATAGTCCAGAAGATGGGGGGCGATGAGAGCCAGCTTCGTGACCGGGTGTTGGAGCAATAGGAAAGTGGCTGAGGGTGGGGGTGGAGGGAAGGAGCTGGGCCCCAGTCTTGTTCATAGCGTGCTTTGTTCTTTTCAGCTGTGCCCTGAGTAATGTGAAGAAGGTTTCCCTGGAGCTGGGTGGGAAGTCACCCCTCATCATCTTTGCTGACTGTGACCTCAACAAAGCTGTGCAGATGGTAAGGGTCGGGCCTCAGGATGGAGTGGGAAGCAGGACGGGGACAGATGAGGGGATATGGGCAGCCAAGGGGAACAGAGACAGTAGAGATGGGAGAACCTTTCTCTGACTCTACCAAGTCCCACCATTAGTTTAGCCTCAATCGACACGGGCTTATGATGTCACCTTACGCAGAGCAGAGGAGGAAGAGGACTCGTGCCTTTCAAAACAAATTGTCCAAGAAGTTGCACAACCATCAAGACCTGTGCAAGTAGATGAATCAGTTGAAAGCAGGAGCCAGGCTCTATCTGTCCTATCTGGTAGAAGAGAGTACGAGGCCCCGAGCCTTTGCGTGTGGCCCTGCAATGGCGGTGACTACTCTGCTGGTAGCCTGTACACACACGCTGGTCTCCACCACAGACTCACTGAATGGCCATGGGCAAGTTGCTTCATCCTGCTGGGCTTGTGTGCTCCCACCTGTCTGTGCGAGGGGGCCAGGATGCCACCTGCTTCCTCCCGTTGCTGCAGGGGTTGACACCTGCAGGGCTTAGAACAGTGGCTGTGTGCGTTACCTGCCATGCGAATGTGGGGTTTGTTCTTACCATTAATATTGTCATTTCTATGCCTTGGTCTCCTCTGCCCTCCTCTCCTGCGGGAGCAAATCAGGAAGGCCACTTTCAACTGAGTGTTTAAATACACATCCCCCAGCCCCTAGGTCCCACTCTGCTCCAGAGGAATAGTGATGCCCCAGCACGATCATAAAATATGAGGACTCTGAGGAAGGCTGGGACCTTGCTCACAGTCCCCCAGTGAAACACATAGTCCTGGGATCTTGGCCTTAGAGCCAAGGCCGGTGCTGTTGGCCCCTGCATAGGCCTGAACCACATCGTTAGGTGACGGTACCAGCTTCCAGGGGAGGTGGTCTGGACCCTGGTCTTCCTTCCTCTGCTGGCCTCTCACAGAGGGCTGACCAGGTTCCCAGAAGCTTGTTCTGCAATGACTGCCCCTCCCTGGCCTTACCAAGGCAAAGCTTGTCACTGCCTCTGCCCAGCCCTCAATGCAGTCACCCTTCTGCTTCACACACACTGCCCAGCGTCTGTCCAGTCAGTTCCCAGTGTGCAGGGGGTCCCAGGTGCACTGAAGTTCACTCTCTTGTTCTCTGTTGTCTACAGTGTGGACATGAGGACATCATCCTCCAGCAGTGGGACTGAGGTCCCCATTTTATCTCCTTCCCACCACATAGCCTTGTGCCTTAGTGTCCCACTTCCCATACGCTACCTTTTGCCTCTTCTTTCTAGACTGAGGATTGAATGGGACACCTGGGCCCAATGATAGCTGAGTCTGACCTGCAGGAAGACAGTAGGACACAGACACACCTGCCCTTCCCAAGAGATGCGTGACAACTCTGGTAGGGAACTAGGGCAGGAGCCCTGGAGGTTTTTTAACCCAATATTTTTGTCCATTCTCTGAAGGGGATGAGCTCTGTCTTCTTCAACAAAGGGGAGAACTGCATTGCAGCAGGGCGACTCTTCGTAGAAAACTCTATCCATGACCAGTTCGTGCAGAAGGTGGTAAGTCCAGCCCCAAGGTCTGAGAGCTGCCAGTTCAATGGGATCATAGCTTGGAGAGCAGGAGGGGGCTCAGAGGAGGAGAAGTATAGCTGAGTGAAGTGGAGCTGAGTCCTTCTCTGATTGGGCACCATCTACCTGGGTCAGGAAACCAGTAACAATCTGAGTCTTCACTAGTTTTTAGCAGTTCATCAAGAAACAAGAATCCCATGGCTCAAATTGACATGGCCAGAAAAGGCCTGTAGACCAGCAGTGTGGCTCAGTGGAAGAGCACTTGCCTAACATATACATGGCCCTAGATTCCATTCTCAGCATCATTAGAACAAAAGCTAAACAAGGACCTGTTTTAGATGGGCTTCTAGAAGTACAAGCTGAGGCAAGAGTCAGATTGTGTGGTTGGCTAAGGATACACCTACTCAAGTGAAGTCTGGAAAATAAAAAGGTCCAGGAGAGGTGTTATGGTTTGTGTCTGTGTGTCCCCCCAAAGCCTCATGCAGTCATGGGACAGGCTTTTAGAATTTGATTGATTATGGGTGTGAGAGCTACACCCTCCCTGGGTGGATAGTTTGCATATGTAAGGGAGAGGAAAAGGGTGCTTCTGGCCATTTCCTCCCTCGTGTTTGTTGCTTTGCTGTGTTCTGCCACCATCAGCTGTAGCTCTCTGTCATGTGCCAGTCTGCCTTGTAATCTGCCAAGTATGGACTGAAACCTCCACAAACTGTAAGCGAGATAAACCTTTCCTTCCTTAATTTTGGGCATCAGGTATTTTGTCCCAGCAATGAGAGAAAAGTAACCAAGACAAGAGGTCAGGGAGAGAATGGAGCAAGGACATAGCCCTAGATCCAGTCCATCTTTTACCTGATCCACCAACAGGAACCCGGAAGCACAAAGTACTTCACACAGGAGCACCCCTGAACTCAATCAACCAAACTTGGGTCCCTGTGTCAGGCTGTCCAAAACCATCAACAGCTGCCTCTCCACTGCTGGGGATGGCATAACTGCTGAACATTCTGAACACCATCTCCTGTTGGATTTATCAGCTCAGTTAACTAAAACCAGAAGAACAGGATGGAGGCTTGCTTCTGGACAAATGGGTCTTGAGCCCCCTCAGAAATATTGTGTGTGTGTGTGGGTGTGTGGGTGTGTGATATTGAGATGGAATGCAGAGCTCACATATGCTAGGCAAGCCCTCTACCACTAAGCTACACCCTAGCCTGGCTAACTTAACATTCTTATAACTCAGAACCAGTGAGGGAAATAACTTTCTCTCTCCCTGCCAACTCTGTTAGAAAAGTTGTGGATAAGGATCCTGGTTCTCACAGCCTGAGCCCCTATCCATCCTTGATTCTGACAGCAATAATCCAGGCAGCTGCTCTGCTTGGCTCAGTTGCAGGCAAGAACTTTCTCTCAGGTCCTAGAGAGCAGAGATGAATCCCAGCATGTGTATGCAGAGATTCTACAATGACAGTCACCAACCTGTGGCAAACAGTGGTTAGAAAGCCAGGAAAAAAAGAGCAGGTTTGTGGGCTGAGGATGTGGTGGAACAACTCTCAGGGAGGAATTCCTGACATATGTGTATCAGTCAGCTTTCTATCACTATCACAAAAACCTAGGATAAACAAAAGGAGGAAGAGTCTCTTTTGATAACTATGACAAAATACCTGTGATGGACAATTTAAAAGGAGGAAGAGTCTATTTTGACTGATAGTTTCAGAGGTATCAGTCCATGGTAACCTGGCTCCATTACTCTTGGATCTGTGGTGGCACAGTATATCATAGTGTGAGTGTGTGTCAGAGGAACTGCTCACCTCTTGGCAGTCAGTAACCAAAGGGGAAAAAATGAAGGGGCCACTGTCCCAATATCCCCTTCAAGGTCGCACCCCGGTGACCTAATTTCCTCTCACTAGGCCTCATCTGCTAAAGGTTCTATCACTTCCCAGTATCGTGAACAGCTGAGGATCAGTCTTCAATATGTGGACCTTTAAGGGATACTTACGTTCTAAACTGTAGCAATATGGTACTAGATCTTCAATAATAGGTCAGAGTATGAGAGGAAGTGAGGAAATGCAAGGACTTTCTAGGAGTGATTATAATAGCTTTTTGTGTATAACATAAGCTTCTGGTGTATAACAAATGACCTCAAGCCCAGTTATGTGATGCCCTCTGGGAGGATAAGGCAGGAGGATCACAAGTTAAGCCCATCCTGGATAATTTAGCAACTTAGGGAGCTCTTATCTCAAAATCTAAAACAATGTTTAAAAGGGCTGGGGGTGTAGTTCAGTACAAAGCCCCTGGTTTCAATCCCCAGTACTGAAAAAAAAAAATGGCCCTCAAGACTGAATAGCTGAGAATAATAGCCGATCACTTAGCTCACTGTTATGGCTTGTGTCTAGATGTCCTCCCAAAGCCTTATGCGGTCGTAGGTGGCTTTTTCAGAGGTGGCTGAATCTAGAGCGTGTGCTTGATTCATGGTGCAATGCTAGGACTAAGGTACTAGGATTAAGGGTGGGTGGTTACTAATCAGTCCACTGATTGCCTTGGCACCACCCTAATTCTAGTAGCCTGGATATAATATAAGGGACAGAAAGAGGCTTGTCTTATCTCTTGCTTGCTTTGCTACCTTCTGCCTGCCATGAACTGTTTCTCCTTTGCAATGCCTGTTTGCCATGCCACCCTGCCTTGGAACGAGCCAATGGACTAAAATCTCTGTAAACTGTGAACTAAGTAAACCTTTCCCCCTTTAACTTTGGGCATCAGGTATTTTGACTTAGCAATAAGAGAAAAGGTAACTAAGACACTCACTGTCCTATGGGTAGCACTTTGGCTTGTGATAAGATCCATCCAACCTCCCTCATATATCTGCAGTTCATCTCCAGGTTAGCCGGGGCGGTCAGTAACTCAGCTAGGATAGCTCTTCTTTGCCTGTGTGGTCTTGTATTTTGTTCTATGTGCTCAGGCTGTTCAGACTGGGCAGTGGCAGTACTCCCAAGAATAAGAGAAGTTTAGATATTCTTGGAACTCATGAAACATCACTCTTGCCACATTCTGCTGGCCAAAGTACATCATGACCAGCACAGATGGAAGGAGTGTTGAAACAGACTCTACCCTGGCAGTGAAGGAGCTGGCTAGCCTGACTGAACAAGTCCTGCCACTCTGAGGCACATCAGAGTAGCTGGGCCATGGTAAAGCCTGGGTAATGACTGTGGACAAAGTGATCATGGTGGTGGTGGGGGGCTGTGTAACCAAGTGCAGTGTGAGTAAGGGGAGCCACAGAAATGAGATCCTGTCTGACGATCTGCAAGGAAGTCATATTCCCAAAGGGTGACCGTAGAGACCACAATTCCAGGGATCATTCCCCAAAGAGTCATAATCCCATATTACTGAGTATTTTGTTAGTACAATGAAATGCCTGAGGCAGGCTACTTTATAAAAAAAAAAAAAAAAAAAAAAAAGGCTAGTTTAGTTACCATTCTAGAAGTATGAGATCCAAACTGCATCGCACAAACTCTTTCCAGGGCCTCCCTGGGCTGTATCATATCATGGCAGGAGTGTATGTATATCTCTGTGTATCTCTGTCAATGTGTGGGCCTGATATCCCTGTCTTCATAGAAAGCCACCAGAATGTAATCATAAAGGTTCCACCCTGATGACCTAATGGAATCAATCCTCCAAGGCCTCGCCTCTAAACACTATACTCAGAATAAGTTCTCACCCTCTTACTTCCCATTTAATATAAGATGTTGGAAATTAGAATTCTGCCTGAATTTGGGGTGGGTGAACAAGCTGTATTCAAACCATAAGGCATCCCATACATAGGAAGTGAGAGCAGCATCTGGGACACCCAGCAGGGCTGTTCTTTGTATCAGAAGAGACTGGAGAACAGCTTGGGCCACCAGGTCAGAAACGGAGAACAGGAAATAAAGGGGTGGGAGGGCTGGTGGCAGGACAGAGACCCTGTTCAGGACAGTCAGAGTTGCGCAGGAGTCCTGGTGGGAAAGGTAGCCCTGGTTGCTTGAGCTCTGCCTGCATCTGCTTAGGGCCTGTTGTAGGTGCAGAGTTTTCAAGGAGCTGAAGTGGACTTGACATTGGAGGGGTAGGGAAAGAAGAAGAGAGGAGGAGTAGGGAAAGAAGGAGAGAGGGAAGAGGAAGAAGAGGAAGAAGAGGAAGAGGAGGAGCTCAGTCCATCCTGATCAGGTTGGGGTTGGAACTGAGTGAGGGTGATGACTTTGATTTTAGGAGCCCAGAGCAGGGACAGAAATGAGAGAAAAGAACTCCCACTTGGAGCCCAGATACCTGGCTGAGGACTGTGTTCACTGGAGTTCTTCCTCTGAGCACCTCATCCCACATCCTGGTTCATTTTCTGACTCTCCACCACCCCAGGCTACAGAATCATTACATAACCTCGCTGTCACTTCTTTGAGGTCACTTCGGCCTGCAACTCTAGGCAGCAAGCCTAGACTCACATTTACGTTGGCTGAGGCAGCAGGACAGGCTTCCTCGGGGAGGAGTAAAGATGGACTTTGAACAGGCAAAATTGTGAGCAGGGGTAGGCGGAATTGAGCCCCAGACCTCTTCCCTCCACTCAGGGCCTGTCCTACTCTGACACAGGCTATTGCAGTGGGGCCCGTATAGTCCCACCCATCTCACAGCCTGGAGACCCTAGCACAAATGGTTCCTAAAGGTCCATGTAGCTGGAGGCAGGACCAATACCAGCCACGCCAGTGCTGTGCCCATGTGCTATGCCCACCATGGTCACAGACACCTGCTCCTCTCAGGTGTCTTACCCTCTCCCCGGCATACCTCTACCCCACTGCCCGGCTCTCATTGGCCCTGGGGCTCCCCAGAGACTTTTATACCTTTCCACATAGGAGACACCTGGGTTTCAGCCTAGAACTTAGGTTTGCATCCAGAGTTGAAAAATCTTAGGACTTGGAATATACGGTGTAGACTGTCTTCAGGGATCTGCAGTGGGTACAAAAGTGCCAATGTGGGAGGTGGATCCAGTGATGTCACCATCGGAAACTGGTGGCATCCGAGCCAGACCTGACTGAAGTGCCTTCTGCAGGTGGAAGAGGTGAAGAAGATGAAGATTGGCAATCCTCTTGACAGAGACACCAACCACGGGCCACAGAACCACCAAGCCCACCTAAGGAAGCTGTTGGAGTATTGCCAGCGTGGTGTGCAAGAGGGGGCCACACTGGTCTGTGGTGGGAATCAAGTCCCTCGGCCAGGTCGGTCAGAGCACTCCCAGCTCACTTGGGTAAACTGAGGCAGCCAGTACCATGGTATGTGATTTCTGGACCAGCTCTCACTGGAGATAGCTAATGGTCAGGTACCTCATGTCTCCAGGCCATAGGCCCACCTGGTCCCTTAGCTGGGGTGGTCCTTGGCTCTTTGGACACCTGTCAGATCCAGGTATGGGACCAGTAGGGGAGGACCCAAAAACTGTAGACAGTATTCAGGGCTAGGGTTAATCTGTGCTGTCCTGGGCTTTCATTTGTCATCGCTATCATGTGTCCTTATAATTCTCTCTTCCTGTGGACTCCCTGACACACGATTTCAGGATTGTGTTTCTGTCTCATTGACTAGTACTTCTCAGCTATGGCTCGTTGGCAGAAACTCCATCTGCAACTGCCCCTTCAGTGCAGATGTGTCCCCAGGTTCTTAGCTTTGAGTGCCTCTGAAGGCAGATCTGGTGCCTGGAGAACCTCATCCCCTGCACAGGCTCACATCCTACCTGTACGCCAGTCTGAAGCTCCACCCCCTCCCGAGCTCCTGAGCACACAGCCAGCTGCCAGATCGACACCTTCACCGGCTGTCCCCAGGCACTTCAAATGCAGCAGTCAGCACCGTAGCCAACCTGACCCCAGACACACACACACAACTGCTTCTCTAGAACCCTCCCTGACCAAGCCTCCTGTGCCAGGGAGCAGGAGCCACAGGGATGGGATCTTCGTGCTCCTCCCCTTGCACTCCTGCTCCACAGGAAGAGCTGGCATGTCTGCCTTCCCATCCACTCCTACACACCCACCACAAGCTTGAACACTTCTCCGTCAATTGATGGCATGGAGAGGGCAGGAAAGAAATCTCAGCCTCTTCCCTTTTTATGACTTTCCACTTTAAATTAATCCTTGGTTCTATGAAATGTGGGTACTTTCCTGAACCTCGCTTCCACATCCCTGCCACCTCTGTGCCAGCTCTCTGTGTCTTATCTCATAGGCCCCATCACAGCAGTCTCCTGAGCTCATCAGGCCCAACTGGCCCTTTGCTTACACAGCTGCCGGGGCCCGGTAATCCTTCCCCAGTGTTCAGACACTGCAGTGGTGACCCAACCTCCTGCAGTGGCACATTTGCACTTTCTAACTTTGCACCCAAATGCTTCTCACGTTCGCTTGCTCCCTGTGCCACCAGACAGGAGTTCTTGAGGCCAGGGGCAGCATCACTAGGGCTTAGCAGGGCGCGGATGGCAGGGCTCGGGGCTCTGTGGAAGGGAGTATAATGAAGGCACTGTCCACAGAGCAAGAGACAGTGTAATCCCCAGAAACCAGTAACGAGATGAGCTACCACCTCCATCGCCCAGCCTGAAGGGATTCAAGGAGGGTAGAGAATTTCTGAAACCCAGTAAAGAGCACAGCACAGGAGTGGGACTGCCTCTTTCTGACCACACTCAACCGGAAGGCAGAAGACAAGAGAGCCTAGGCCTGAAGTCCACTTATCAGGACCCAGAGCAACCTAGAGTACCGAGTAAGTGGGGAGGGGCAGATGGAGAAACAGCCCGCACTGTCTTCCTGCAGCCCGGTGCTCTGTGGCTGATAGTCAGCAGCGCATGACTGTTGAGAGAATACTTGCCATTCCCTGTAAGCCCTTGGGCACCTGTATGCAACTGATGTCTTATAAATTGTAATTCATCTTGAAACATAATTCATAAATGTACAGAAATACAGTCATCTGCTGCATTTAGTTCAAAGGGTTGTGAGGATCACGTAATATGGTTGGGGTAGGAAAGTCATTCACAGATGTTGGCATGCCTCACATAGGTACCAAGACATTCCATTCTGCAGTGGGTTGTCTGCACAGTGGCTGGCGTGACCCTGGCCCTGGTCCAGGGCAGGGAGGCTGGAGCACTTGGGAACTGCCCCCGCTCGCATGCCACGAGCTTGTCTCCCCTGCAGGTTTTTTCTTTGAGCCAACTGTTTTCACGGACGTGGAGGACCACATGTTCATAGCCAAGGAAGAGTCCTTCGGGCCCATCATGATCATCTCTCGGTTTGCTGATGGGTAGGGAATCTGCTTACATTTCTCAAGGGGCTGATTCTTTTCTGTGCATGACTGAGGTTTTTGCATGAGCTTTGGGAGGTGGCCCACGGGCATCTCAGAGAATTCAGATAGGGAAGAATCTAGGGACACAGCCTGTGCTGCCTGTGGAGGCTTCCTTACCCACTGAGGGCCCCGATCTCCCTGTGAAGTGCCCCAGTGATGAGAAAGGCTTCAAGTCACACTTTGAGCAAAAGTCATTTTCCTCCTGTCTTGTCCTCTTCTCTCCTTGTGTGTCTCTCTGAATGTGTCTGTGAGCCTCTGCCCTGGAGGTATATTGCCCTGTACTAAGCCACCCCCAAACTGAGTGGCTCAGAATAGCAACAGTAATCTATTGATCTAGGAATCTGCAGCTGGGTCAGGGTTAGTTAGATGAACCCATCACTGCCCTGTGCCATTTCTGAGTGGCTACTCTCACCTTGGCTCAGGACCTCCCTGCAGGCTCCTTCTGGCCTGGGACCTGACTCCACACAGAGGCCAGTTAGGGATTGCAAGGCTTGTCACTTCTGCCCTCAGAACGCCCAGAGCATCTCTCCTACCCTATCCTATCAGTCAAGTTCCCATCAGGGCTGGAAGGAGGCAACAGACTTCGTTTGCAGTGGAAGGCATGGTAGCAGTTTGAACAACCTTTGCCATCCCCAGCTGCTTCTCCTGGCTATGGTTGTTCAGGCTTAGCACTGAGAAAATTGCAAAATGGTACCTCATCCTCAACTTCTACTACCAGACTGTCAAAAAAACCTACTGAAATTGTCAGTACAGGCTGATTTCATTAGAAAAAGAGACATTACTGCCATCTACAAATAGTCAATCTCTGCTGTCTGGTGAATGCCCAGCCTGAGGGCTCACCTTTGCCTTTCCATGTGTGGTGGGCTCTGTTCCCATCTGTAGAGGGAGGGACTGTCCCAGTGACCCCAGGATCCTGGATGCTCAACTCTGCAAATCTGCCCCTCCTTGCTCACAACCTTCCCTTTTCCCTTCCCTCCTTCCCTTTCCGTTCTACCTCCCTTCCTCCTTTCTTTCAGTTTTGAGGTGAGATCTTGCTGTGCTGCCCAGACTGATCGTGAAATCCTGGGCTCAAGCAAACCTCAGCCTCCTGAGTAGCTGGGACTATAAGTGTGTGTCACCACGCCCCACTCCCCTCCTCACTATCACTCTGTCCTTCTCTACTGCCCTCTGTCTCCTCAGGCCTGCCTTGGCCCTAGCACTTTCTCTCCTTTTTAAGCCTTGTATGGCAAGGGCTTTGGAGTGTGCCTGGCTCAGCTTTTGGTGGAAGAGATGCTCATCTTGTGTGCAGGGCCAAGGCCGCTCTAAAGTCTTGGATTTACTCCACAGGGATGTGGACACGGTGCTGTCTCGGGCCAATGCCACAGAATTTGGCCTTGCCTCTGGAGTCTTCACCAGGGATATAAACAAGGCCCTGTACGTCAGCGACAAGCTTGAAGCAGGCACTGTGTTTGTCAACACATACAACAAGACTGACGTGGCTGCTCCCTTTGGCGGATTCAAGCAATCTGGATTTGGCAAAGATTTGGGTAACCTAATCCTACCTGCAGGGTTGCTTTTATTTATTCAACAAACTTCTGTCACTGAGTGCCAGGCCTGCCCCAGATGCTGGGTGTCACCCTGAACAGGGTGACTATTAGGTGACCACTTCTTACTGGACAGGGACAAGCAATAATTAAGTTGGTGAATGAGATCTTGCAAGAGGTGAGAGTGCTAGGAAGAGGGTGGGAGACAATCTGGGAGCAGACTAACCACAGAGCAAGGGGGCCTCTCTACAGAGATGACACTGCTCTAAGACCTGCATGATGAGGTGGAGTTAGCCATAAATCTGGAGGCCCAGGGGCAGGTCTAAAGCAGAGGAAACAGTTTTGGCCTTGGAGCTGCAGAGAGGCCTAAGTGGTGGTATGGGTGAGGGCAGGGAGGATAGGTGGCCTGAGAGACAGGCAGTGCCCTCCTTTGGGAGCCCTGGAGGCCATGGTCGGAGCCTCAAAGGAGAGGGAGCTGCAGGTACCTGTGAATGTTCTCAGTCACCCAGGGTAGGGATGATGTCACCAAGGAGTCAGTAGGCTCCAGGTTCACCCGGGCCATGCACATGCCCCACGTACTGGGCCGAGTGAGCTTGGCCCGAGGACTCCTCCTCCCTGGGCTGCTCATCCTACTCTCCCCCTCCTGCCACTGTGGAAGCTGACTGCTGGGGCCTAGACAAGTTCGATGGACAAGGTTGGCAAGGTCTGGGGAAAGCCAGGTGCTGTCTCTCAGGACCCATGACTTCTCTCCTCAGACGCCTATTCCTGCTCAGGGACTGCAGGGAGGATCAAACTGAGACTGGAATCCCAGGGTTCTCTTTTATGACCTCCCATCTTTCAAGCCCTGCAGGAATCCTGGGTGCATTGACTTCCCTCTGCAAGCCTGACACACATGCACACTCACCTATACCAGAGGCGCACACATGCAGGCGTGTCCATCATGCAGACCTGTGCCGTCAGGCATGCCCACTGTCCTTGTTGGCTGCCTCCTCTGCCTCCTTCCAGGCACCTTCCTGGTGCCCACCATGAGAACTGACAAGGCCCATCACCATCCAGGGATGGCTGCGGGCTCCAAGGCCTGAGGAGGTGACCATAGTCACATTAGACTTTTTTCTGAGATCCCCCAGCTCTCGTCCCATTCTGTGTCCTGCATAGAGAGGACCTGTGAGCCCTATGAGAAGCTCCCAAACCAAACACTTGAAACAGCCACCCTAGGGTGGGCCAGAGATACAGAGAGATGCAGCAGCAGCATTTGGGAGAGCACCACACCTGGGGGCAGCGGCAACTGACGGGGAGCTCTCAGGCAGCCAGGGGCCACACACATTGTCATGGGGCTGAGATGCACCAGCCACAAAGTACTGTCAAGCTGCAGAGTCCTCAGGGGTCCTGCAGGGCTTCCCTGTCCCCAGCCACGGCTTGATGTGGAGACAACTGTGGCAGCAGTGGGGAGGAGGTGGGCCACCAGGAAGCACGAAGACAGTCTCTCTCGGCTTCCCTCCCCCTCTTCCCCTGGCACAGTGGATTAGGAGCTGGGGTAGGTTCTAGAGCAGTTATTCCAGGTTGAGTTTGTGTCCCTACCTGCACTGGAGTCCTGGTACAGCATACCTAAGCGTCACTTTCTCACCTGCGAGTGGAGTGAGCCAGGGTCACCCCACATGGTTGCTCGCGGGACCCCGTGACATAGTACATGTGTTGCACCTAGAACAGTGCACTGTACCATTTGTCTTACAGGAGAGGCGGCCCTGAATGAGTACCTGCGGGTCAAGACAGTGACTTTTGAGTACTGAAGAAGGACCTCTGAGAGAGGGAAGACCAAATCCCTCCGTGGTGCCCCTCATCCCACACAGCCCTGACCTGTCTCCTTAGGGCAGGCCAAGACGTTCCCACCCAGCTGGAGTGCACAGGCCGCCTCCCCCGCCCCGCCCCCCAGCAGCCACTGAAGCCCTCCTGCCTGTTCCCCCATCTGCACCATTTGGGACACACTATGAACAATCAGAAGTGGCCCACTTCAGGGAAAATAAATGTTCTGAGTAGAGGCAACCTCCTCCTTGTGTCTCCACTCTGTCCAGAGTACTCCTGGGAGCCATGTGGTCACCCTGAGCCCTTGGCACAAGCTGTGCTGCTTGGACTTCGGTGAGCCAGACTGCCTGTGGACACATGCAAGGAAACACGTGTGGTCACTCAGGCCTCAGCAAAGCAGGTGTTGAAACAGAGCGATGCCCCCCATGGGGCCTGGCATGGGTCTGGGTTTGGGGGCTCTGAGTAGCCACACAGAATGGAAATTGCCATTTTTCATTGACCTTTGAGAAAGTCTTGAAGCTGGGCAAAGTGGAACATGCCTGTAATCCTGGCACTTTGTGAAGCTAAGGCAGGAGGATCACAAACTCGAGTGCTGCCTAGGCAACTTAGTGCGGTCCCATCTCACAATAAGAGGGTCACCCCCAGGAAATATAGGAAGATGCAGGTTTGGGGGTGGAAAGCTGGACTGTGATGCGGTTCAGTGTCTGCAGGAGTCCCTGCCTGGTGTCTCAGACCTGAGGCAGTGCTCCTGCTTTTTGCCCTGTGTTTCTTGTGGCTTCCTCTCACCCCCTGCAGAACCTCTGTCTTTCTCGTACCCTCACCCATGGGAGCCAAGGCCTCCCCTCAGCATCCCCATCTCGTAGGTCCCAAACACTGCAACCTGTCTCATTTTCCCCCGTATATCTACGCACTTCTTCGCTATGCATTGCTATGATGAGGCTGCAACTTCTCACAAGACCTTTGTATGTGTGTGTATGGTGTGTGTGTATGTGTGTGTGTGTGTGTGTGTGCGTGCGCACTTGCGCATGCACATGCTCACGTGCGCACTGGAGATGAAACCTAAGGACACTCCATAACTGAGCTCCATCCATAGCCCCTCTTATGTTGAGATGGGTTCTCACTAAGTTGCCTAGGTAGTACTTGAATTTGTGATCCTCCTGCCTTAGCTTCACAAAGTGCCAGGACTACAGGCATGTTCCACTTTGCCCAGCTTCACAGACCTTCTTAAAGGTCAATGAAAAATGACAATTTTCATTCTTTGTGGCTACTCAGAGCCTCAAAACCCAGACCTGTGCCAGGCCCCGTGGGGGGCATTGCATGACCTATTTCCCACCTATCTCAGAGCAGAGCCAGAACACCCCACCGAGGATTCCTGGCTTGTCCAGTCTCGGTCCTTGTTGCCCACAGAGGGGAATACATGAATCTTTCAGGCTCTTTGCTACCTCAGAATTGATGTCTGCTGGGATGGCTGACGGTAGGGATGGCTTCCTTGCTGGAAAGAAGTCTTTTCCCCTATCCCTGGGAAAATGGACTTGCCTTAGCACGGAACACCTACACCTCAGTTGTCCCTTTCCTAGGCTCTGGTTGTTGGGCCTCAAACACCCCAGAACTGAAGTCCAAGTGATGTACCCTTACCTAGGCCCTGGGCCAGTCCTACCATGCTCTTCGCAAGCAGAGGTCGAAGCCTACAATGATCCCCATGGGGCTGCTTCCCTGTAAACATCCCTTCATGACAGAAGAGCAGACAATGCTTCAGTGCAAGCCCACTCAAGCTCAAACAGGGCTAAGAAGAAGCTTCCTAAAACAGATGCACAAAGAGCTTAGTCTTAGACAGAGCATCCCACTGCAGTTATATGTGGGATCTCCGGTTTAGATGCACAAAACCACAAATCTAGCTTTCTAATCTCTTCCCCCCTTTAAGAATTCCCTGGAGACTACAAGTAGGAATGTCAGTTATGCCCCATTTTCATTTTCTTTGTTCCCTGCTTAAGTCATAGGATCTTCCTATTTTACCTGGGCACATGGCTGCCCAGGAGAAAGACAGAACTTCCAAGCCGCACTTACGGCTAAGTGACAATCATGAAATTGTTCCAGTCCACAGAAAGAGCACAGACATGATCAGTGCACCTTCTGACGCAGATCCTACAGAAGGGACTCATGCTGTTGCCCTGGGCTGGCTGGAAGAGGGTTCAATGGACATGGCAGGGAGTATCTTCTAACCCTGCTGCTATGGGCAGCCCCCTGGGGTGTGGGGGATGGTGGAAGCCTCAATCCCCAACATCATGGAGGTGTAGCTCTTCCGGAGGTGACTTACTGTCAGACTGTCAATGTGACAGGTAGTTTCATCACTGACTTTTTGTGATTTTAATATGCATTCATGTTTTACTATGCTAAGACAAGGGTTTAAGGTAGTTTACAAATAAAATACAAAAGCTGGGCACAGTACCATGTACTTGTAGTTCTATTGTTTGGGAGACTGAGGCAGAAGTATTGCTGGAGCTCAGAAGTTCTGGACCAACCTAAGCAACGTAGTGAGACTCTGCTTCTTAACAAAAATGTGCATACACACAAATACACATCATACATCACACACACACACACACACACACACACACACACACACACACGTGAATTGGAGCCCAAGGCAAAGTGGCAGTGAGATGAAATCAGGAGTGAGGTTATTATCAAAACTATTAACTTAATTCATCCTTGCCCTACTCTATTTTATCATCTACCAAGTGACTGGGATTCTCATCACCCTGCGTTCCACTGTCAGATTGAAAGCCTCTGTCTACTCATCTGTTATTCTTCACGAAGCAATGCACCAATGGAACATCTGTTTTCTTACTGAATCTTCACCAGAGATTCCGATTCCAGAAAGCAGTAACCTTGGAGTTCGCAGAGAAACTCTGGGGGTTCCTGCTCTGTTAATGCTTGAAGCATTATCTATCTGACAGAAGCATTATCTGTCTGACAGAATCAATGGGGAAAGTTCTGCTCTTCTATTTTCATTTTCAAAGTCTAATTTGGGGTTTATGAGTTTGAATAATGTTTCACTGATTTTTGAGACTAATTATCATGTGTTTTAGAAGGCTGGAACTTTTAGCTCCGTATCTAACCCTGTATACTCCTTTATTGATACACATCTCTTATTTTAATCTCAGAACAAAGGACATTATCTTGTCTGACTCTGTTACTTTTGTGAAATTTTACACTTCTAATAATAAATTATAATACATGATTTCAAAAAAAAAAAAAAACTATTAACTGTGGGCTGCAGGTGTATCTCAGTGGTAAAACGCTTGCCTACCTACCTCACATGAGGCCCTGGGTCCAATTCCCAGCACCACAAAAACAAATTGTGGTAAAATATACTTAACATAAAATTGACTATATTAATCCTTTTTGTTTGACTATATTAATCTTTTTTAACGTAGACTTTGTTTTTTGAGACAGGGTCTTGCTGTTTAGTTTAGGCTGACCTTGAACTCACTATGTGGCCCAGGCTGGACTTGAACTTGTGTCGCTCCTCCTGCATCAACTTCCTGAGTGCTGGGGTTGCAGACATGCGTGGGTCTTAACCATTTCTAAATATGCAATCCTGCTGTTGTTAAATACCACCAAGATCAAAAACAAAACAAAACAGAACAAAACAAAACACAAAAACAAATGCAAGTGCCAGGCATACAGCTCAGGGGCACAGTACCTGTCTGGCAAGCATGAGATTTTGTGTTTGATTCCGATACCCCTCCAAAAAATCCCACCAAGATCATCTCCCCAGTTTATCATCTTGCAAATTTCAAACTCTTCCAAGCATAGAATTTTAATGTCCGTGGCAAATGAGGTGAATCAGATAGCTGAGATTTCACTTTCAGCTCAGAAAAAAAAAGATACACATTTTACAACTTAAAATCTCTACCCTTTTACTATATAACTTTTACTAGGAGTTAGAAGTTTTAACAGGGATGGGGTATACCTCAGTATTAGAGAGCTTTCCTAGCATGCATGTGTCCCTGGGTTCCATTTCTATCACCTTACAAAAATAACTTTTAGGAAATCCTCCAATGAACTAATTCTAGCCCACTGTTTTATATAAGGATTAATATATTCCATGAAATATTTAATGCACCACAAGTTCCATAGCCTTGCATTGACCTTGATTTGTCTTCTTTACGTACTGCTATCCTCCTAACATGGGCATTACCCAGGCCTCTGGGCCGTTTGCGGGGCACTGGGAAGAAAGTTCCACATCCTGTGAAGGAACTGGCTGGCCTTCAGCTCTCTCACACACCCTGGAAATTGGCTGGCTTCAAATCCTTTCTCCTTTGCCAGCTCCTTCTCAGTATGCAGTCAGCTAAACCTATCTTTAGTGTCATGGTCAGTTTCCTTAGGCGTTTGGATCAGATGCTGAGGAGCATTTCTAGCTGTTCCTGAGGAGTGCAGCAAGCCAGACTCACAGGAGCAATGGAAGCTGGGTGCACATGAGCTGGAGCAGGGCTTGCTAGGTCCTGGAAGCTGGACCAGTGCTCCTGACATTCTCTCCTTCCTCCAGAGGCAACCAGCAGCTTTGCCAAGGCCACTGCCTAATCCATGCTAGAGGGGTGCTGTAAGTCCTTTCACCAGCTGTTGCCTTAAACAGTTTGGGAGTAGAGATTTCTAGGTCTTGTGGCGGGGGGATTTCTAATTAGGCAGGGGTGCTCCTAGGCTTCTAAGTCTGACACTGCCAGACACTGACACAGGAGCCTCATTTATCCTCTGAAAAGGCAATTGTAATGCATGTTTTGCATGCTTCCCAGGCTGAACACTTCACCTTGTGTATGAGAATTGCATTCCAGTGAGACAGGCTGTGGGGATGAGCCTATACCAGCTCTGGTTATCCAAGATGCCAAGTGGGGAACACCAAGGGCCCTTGAGATGTCTTTGGAATCATCAGAAACTAGCATTCCTTGGTCTTTTACCATTTTATATGTAAATTTTATATTATAAATTTAATATCAAAGAACAGATCGTTCATAGAGAAGTCATTTTTTTTGGTGCTGAGTATTGAACCCAGGGCCTTATGCATGCTAAGCATGTGCTGCGCCAGTGAGTTGCACCCAGACCCAACTAGTATTTTCATTGGAACTGGACTAACCAGAGATGCTCCTTTCTTAAACATATGTTCATTAATTCTTTCATTCTGATTAGCTTGTTCAGGAGAGGAAACCCAGTATCATAGAAAGTAATGTCTTTAGACTCAA